GAAGGAAATTGCCACCAAAGCCGGAATCCAGCATCCAGCTCAAAAGCTTCATTTTTTGGACGGTTGTTGACAGGGATCAATCTGAAACTTCTCACTTTTCAAAGTTCGCTGAGGGAAATTCCTGGAAATTGGCACATTTTGCTGTCAAGACTAGGGGTCCGAGATCCAGCTCGAGAGGTTCATGTTTGATTTTGACTGCACCAGTAAACATCTCAAACGGAAAAAATGCAGCCACCGAATTTCCTTTCGAAACATTTTGTTTGCCATGTTTTTCCCATTTCTCAATGGTGGGGGGCCCTTCAAACATCACACTTGGAATGCCCACCCCTAAGAATTGGAATATATTTCGCAGGAAAAGGAATGAAGAAATTACTCCAGAAGGCGGCAAAAGGTAATGAAAGAATTTCCCGAAAAATCATTCAAGTATGTAATGCGAGTCATTTTTAGAAATTGTGGTTTTGTCCGTTTCCCGGTATTTGGCACCATTTCAGGGCCTCACTTAGAATGTGTCCAACGTATTCTTTTTGTGCTGTGTCATTCAAATTTCCTTGTTCAAGCACTTTCCAATGGCAGATTTTGGCTTCAAGAATCAGATTTTGGCCTGAACAAATGATGCCAGGCTTGTTTTTGAAGGAAATTGCCACCAAAGCCGGCATCGAGCATCCAGCTCAAAAGCTTCATGTTTGGACGGTTGGTGACAGGAATCCTACACAAAAAGGGCTGGCCAGAAAACCCTGAATCCAAGATCAACCTGAAACTTTTCACTTTTCAAAGTTCGCGTAGGGAAGTTCGTGGAAATTGGCACACTTAAGGATTTTCCTTTCGAATCATTTGTTTTGCCATGTTTTTCCGGTTTCTCAATGGTGGGGGACCCTTCAAACATCACACTTAGATCACTTAGAATGCCTCCCTAAGACTTGGAATGTATTTCGCAGGAAGAGGAAGGAAGAAATTACTTCAGAAGGCGGCAAAAGGTAATGAAAGAATTTCCCACAGAATTATTCAAGTATGTAACGCACGTCATTTTCAGAAAATGTGGTTTGTCCGTTTCCCGGTGGTGGCACCATTTCACGGCAACACTTAGAATGTGTCGAACGTTATCTTTTTGTGCTGTTTCATTCACATTTCCTTGTTCGATCATTTTCCAACAGCAGATTTTGGCTTAAAGAATCAGATTTTGGCCTGAACAAATGATGCCAGGCTTGTTTTTGAAAGAAATTGCCGCCAAAGCCCGGGTCCAGCTCAAAAGCTTCATTTTTGGACGGCTGGTGACAGGAATCCTACACAAAAAGGGCTGGCCAGCAAACCCTGAATCCAAGATCAACCTGAAACTTCTCACTTTTCAAAGTTCGCTTAAGGAAGTTCATGGAATCTGATGCTTGGTTTGAGTGCACCAGTAGTAAACATCTCAAAGGGAAAAAATGCAGCCACCAAAGCCCAAATCCAAAATTTAGCTGAACATCGGCGTTTCTGACAGCTTTGGTACTAGAATCCTAGAAGACACTTAAGGAATTTCCTTTTGAAACATTTTGTTTGCAATGGTTTTCCCATTTCTCAATGGTGGGGGACTCTTCAAACATCACCCTATCAACTGCATACCCAAGGCAGAATGGGCACGATGCCCTCTCATGAGATTGGATTTATATTGAATTATTCATACGAAATATTGAATTTATACAATCCTTCAAACCATGTTTTTCTTTAAAAAAACAGAGATTTTGCAACAGAATGATGACATTTCTATATGTTTTTGGCGGCATTCTACTGCAAAAAACAGAGATTTTGCAACAGAATGATGAAATTTCTATATGTTTTTGGCGGCATTCTATGTGGGCTGCACAAAGTACATAAAACCCCGCGTATACCGAGTATTTTGAAAATATGGGGCTCAAATGTTTGACATGCTGCGAGCTGGACTTTTTGGCCGGAGGCATTCTATGTGTGGCACTCAATCTCATATTACCTTCACAAAATTTCCTACGAACGATTCATTACAAAAAAGTCCAGCTCGAATAGCAGGTAGTTGAAAATGGCATTTTACGAGGGTTTTTTTTAAGATTTTGCTCCCGCGGCGGCATTCTTTAGAGGGCGCGAGCTAGAGGGGCCCGGCATTCTAAGTTTCAGTCCGTCGCTATATACCACAAATTTCTGCGAACTTTACACCCCAGAAATCTATGAAGTTTACGCTGCAAAAACTTCTGAACTTTTCGCCCCCAAAACTCTATGAACTCTACACCGCAAATATCCATGAACTTTATACCGCAAAATTCTGTGAACATTACACTGCAAAAATCTATGAACTTCTCTACGCCACAAAACCTATGAACTTTATACCGCAAAGTTCTGTGAACTTTATGGCCCAAAAATGTACGAACCTTACACCACAAAAATCTGTGAACTTAACGCCCCAAAACTCTATGAACCTTACACCGCAAAAAGCTATGAACTTTAAGGCCCAAAAAACTACAAACTCTACACTGCAAAAGTCTATGAACTTTACGGCCCAAAAATGTACGAACCTTACACCACAAAAATCTCTGAACTTCACGCCCCACAAATCTTTGAACCTTACGCTGAAAAAATCTACAAACTATACACCCCAAAAATATTTGAACTTTACACCCCAAGAATCTATAAACTGTTAAGGCCCAAGAATCTATGATCTCTACGCCGCAAAAATCTATGCACCATACGGCTCGAAAACCTATGAACTCTACATCCCAAAAACCTATGAACCTTGCACCCTAGACCACAAAAATCTATGAACCTTAATGCCCAAATACCTTTGAACGTTACAACCCAAAAACATCGGACCCTTAAAGCCTCAAAATCTATGAACTTTAAGGCCCGAAAATCTTTGAACCTTACCGAAAAATCTATGAAGTGCACACTCCAAAAAATCTATGAACTTTCAGGCCCAAAAATCTATACCTTACCTGCAGGCATTTGAGGACAGGGGTTTGCGAAGCATGAACTTCCTGAAAAAATATACACGTGAATGCACTACCTCGGCATGACGCTCAGGTAGAAGTTGGCCCAGCTTCAGGTTATCGCAGCGCATGAGAAGTTACCGACTTGCTTTTCATGCGCAGAAAATATACGTATATACATAAAACAAAGTCTTTAAAAAACGGTTTTCAACATGTTTTGCCATGACCTATACCGTTTGAATCATAAATCCGCCCACGCCGCTCGGCGGTGAAGCCGTGTCATTGGGGTGCAATCAGCTAAAAAGAGTTCATTCTAATGATATAACATTTTGCTATGTCAACTTTAGCTTGGGGTGGGGGAGCCCTTGGGACCGCTTTTGCTCCGTCATTGCATATGGTGCACGGTAGCTTCAGTTTTTCGAATTTTGTGACCCTGTGGGGTCTTCGTGAAAGAAATTTAAATTTGACTGAAATGTTGCTCTGTTGGGTCAGGTTTTTTGAATTTTGCGCGATGCTTGAATGGAGAAAGAAAGTGCAGAAAACATCGCAAAAACCAGCGTTTTTGCTGCAATGCTGTGGTGGGCTGCGGGGAGAAAGTTAGAAACAAACTGCCAAACCAACGTGCTTTGCCGTTGTTTAAAAAACTTTTTTGACAAAGTACTGTAAAGACTATGTTTTTGATCGGAAATCAAAAACCTGCGGTAAAAACGGTGTTTGGTTCATTTTTTGATAAGGATGAACACCAAAAAAATAGAAGACATCACATATTACCCGCGTTGTTTGCTGCTCTGCTGGTGCGCCGCAGGAAGAACATCACAGACAAAATGCTGCGACATGTTCTGTTGTTTGCCCCGATGACTCTTCACTACCCAAACAAAAACAAAGATGCCCCTAAATGATTTTTCCACCGTTTTCCAAGTACGATTGAAAACATATGGTATTTACAGTGCTTTCCAAAAAACTGTCCAAAAATGTTCCAAAGCATCATTTTCCGCAGTTGGTCTAGTTTGCGCCAGAAAAAAACATGGTATTCACAGCCTGCCAGAAAAATAAACGCTGGATTTTGCAAGTGTTTTTTGCTTGTGTACTAGCGCGGAGGGACAATAAAACTTTTCCAAAATGTTCAAAGGTCAGCGTTTTTTAATGTTTGTTCATTGGAAACGTACTGTAGGTACCATCTTTTCTTTGAAGGAAAATGGAAAAACTGTGCGAATACCACGGTTTCTTGATGGAAAGCGGGGGGGGAACTGCGAGAAAAAGACAATGTGCTTGAGATTATTTTCGACAGCAGTTGTCCAAAAAGAGTAGCAGCCTTGCTGTGGAGTTCGAAAAAACACCCCCAGCGAATCCTTGCAAGGGCTGCTAAGGGGTTCCCCCATTCCGAACTCTACATTTCAAGTTATACACGTTGTTCTGAATAACAATTTCACAAAAAACCTTCCAAGCTACCCCTCTGGGCAGGTGCTTCACGCGTAGCGGGGTGAATGCGTTGTGAAGAAAGGATGGGTCAAGTTTCATGTGTAGCAGTTACCATGAAGCAGCATGCCCATGCAAAAACTACGTGTAATGAATTTTCATGCTGTTCTTAAAAGCAACCTCAGATGAATGAATTCTCTCGACATGACTCTTGACAAACAGTTGCCATCCTTGACCATTTCTTTGACCTTTCTCACCTGCATTTGGTCATTGAACCATCTTTGCCCCAAAGTCTTGGGTTTTTTCATCTTGAGCCAGAATGATATATCATTTTGTCATTTCAACCCGTATTTTTTCATCTTCGGCCAGAACGATATTTTACCTGTCATCTCGAGCCACGTGGCGTTACACTTTGGCTGAAGCATTGTCATTTTGATTTGCAAAGAAGTTGGTTATGGCCAACTTTAGCGCATTGCAGTCTAAATTCTTGTCATGCACTCAAGTCAGCAGGTTATCTAACAAACCAAAAAGGTAAACCATGGCATTATATGGCAACTGCTTAATTGAGCGGTAAGGTGGTGGCATAGGTGTGTAGTACGCCTATGTCATCACAGAAGCGGGATCAAACGGCATCTGACTCTTGCTCAGTTGCACCTTGACAAAGTATTTCCCGGTTCAGCCTTTCATCCTGCAACTTACCACGCGCAATCTCTGAAACAAGCTGCATACGTGAAGCATGTTTTTTGCGGCGTCCTTATATAAGCGTTAACTAACGGCAATTTTTGGCTGGAGGCACGACTCAATGCAAGACTCCAGAGTCCTCATCTTGGAGTGTGTCACCGGAGCTCAGATGGGTGCCCAATATCGCAAATGTTGCGTCACTCTGTTTGTCCTCATGTGGGAAAACTGTTCAGTTTCGGAGAAAAAAAGAAAGTACACCTGGCTCAGGTTCGAACAGTCACTAGAGGCTATCGACAAAGGACCGCGCTGCAGACATGAACAGACTTGAACAGACTGGCTGTGACTGGCTGAATCAAGAAGTGACATGGAGATACCTGGAATATGGGTCGACATGACCGTGTACACAACGCCCCCAGCATCGGAGATACGACACGAGCACGGTCAAAACGAGAATAAAGACAATAAAAAAGAAGCCGTCTGAAGGTCCAAAGCATCTTCGAAACGGTCATGTGCCACAAGCAGGCTGATAAAGAGAGACGAGCAAACCCCAACCCCCTGTCCAGGTCTCCTTTAGTTTGAGCTGAAGAATTCCCTTGCCGCCACCTTCCAAGCAATCGATGAAACAGAGTCATCTTCGTCCTCTCCCCTCCAGCACCCATCCACGAAATTCTAGTGGCACAAATTGATTTGAGCTCTATTCGCGTCTTTCCTGTTTGCCCACCTGTCCCAAGGGAATTGCCGTCCCGAACCTGGGTATGGCTGCACTTGTAGATCCAAAGCATTCAGCCGTGAAGTCTTCCAAAAGACTGCAACTCCCATGTCGTCCACAGTAGCAGGTGTCTGAACAGCGGCCCAGGGGCTCGCAAGGATTGGGGGAGCTAGGTGTCACCAACTGCAACCCTGGCTTCCAAGCTTGGGATTGGAACATATTGCAGTACGGTGCAATGCTGTGCCTACACTCCTTTTATTGATTTTTATTGCAAGCGTGCACCATGTGTCGACTCAGCGTTTCCACGGGTTACACTTCACTTTGAAGATACTTATGGAAATTTGCTGGGGGTTCATTTCATCAACTTCCGACTACCTAAACAGTTCGTGAGTTTATCATCTCTCCTAGAGTGCAAAAAATGACAGGTTCATCCTGTTATCATCTCTCCTAGAGTGGCTCAGCCTCGACTCCTGCGCTCTGCAGCAGCTGCGCAACTTTGCCAGGAGGTAAGGCCTGATACCAGTTTCCTTGGTCTTTCCGTCTTACCAACAGGGTATATTGAAAAGGTGAAAAAGAGGATGAACAATGGCACCTTGGAGTACTAAATGTGGACAAACTAATCCAAAACTTGCGGGTGTGACTTTGAGCCACTGCCACAAAGCAAAACCGCTCTCGGCACTCTCTCCACAAATTTCCAGGAGAATCAAGTGCCCCCATCACGTGAAGATTTCCTCCAGAATCCCAGAACATGACTATGGGGCACAATGGGCCACCCTAATGCTACCGTACAGTACCTCAGGTGGCTGATGCTACCTTTTCTGACATAGCCTGAACAACATACCACAAATATAAGACATGCCAGAAGATGTTGCTATGTAGTTTTATTTTGACCTTGCTGAATTTGAGTTGTTACTTTGCCCCTGGTGTGTATGTTCCCGCTGCTTGGGAGGCTTCTGGCACAGGCCACCGTCTACAATACTGACGTAAACCGGACAAAAGAATGGAAGGCGCTAAAAGAAGACAAAACAGCCTGAAATGGCCTTGTATATTACACACTCGCACACTACGCAGGACTTTCTCAGGACCTTCGAATGGCGGCCGAACTGCAACTGAGGCAGATTTGGACACAGTGCGATGAGCAATGGCAAGTGATGGTACGTGCGCTGACAACGACCACTTCGCGCAGATGCTGTAGCAAGATGTGCCCGGAGACATGCACTGCATAGCCACCAAGTGAGTTTCAAGTCTACTGCCCCCATAAGCACGCACGCACCAAGACGCAAATATGTGCGTGTGTGTGTGTGCGCGCGCGCATGCGCGTGTGAAATATACACACAGATAGGCACATATCTGTGTATAATATATAGAAACATGTATGTAAATGTATCTATATATATATACATGTGTATGTGTACATATATATATATATATATATTACTAGACTGTGAATCTGCTTGGCACTTGGCTGTTGATCCCATGTCAGGTCCGCCACCGACTGTGTCGCCCAAGGGCTAACGTGCAGGGGAGACATGCACGTGGAAAAAGTGTAGCAGCTGCCCACAGTGGTAGCGGAGCTCGGTCGCTCCAGCGCCCGGCATCCCTGTTTATAGTTTTCTCTGAGGTGGCGTCCATTGTAGGACAACATGCCACCGGCTTCTTCCGCCATGCCGGCGGATGAGACTCCAGTGCCACCCTCTTCAGATGGAGGGCGCAGTCGAGAACGTACAAGATTCAGAGCCTATGAGGTGGAAGCGGATGAAGATGATTTTGATGTGGATGCAATCAATGAATGGATGCGTCGGAGACATCAGGAGAGACCTCCAAGACGTCGGCAGCTCTACAGTGATGATGATGATGATGATGGTGATGATGATGATGATGATGATGATGATAGCCGAGATGGCGGTGGCCAGCGAACCAGCAGCGGGCCACCTCCAGAGTGGAACGGTGAAGACCTGAACTTTCAGGACTACCTGATCAAAGCCAGGCTTTGGTTAGCCACCACCAAGGCTAAGCGCCGCACAAGAGGCCCTTTGCTGCTACAGAAGCTGAGCAAGACCCCTTTCGAAACTATGAAACACTTGGCGAAAGACGGCCAATGGATGGAAAGTGACCGGAATGGCGAAGAGCTCCTAGAGTTCATGGACTTGCCACAGAACTTTGGGGATGACAGGGATGAGGATCTTCTGTCGGCCTTGGCTAAGGTGACATACCACCTTCGGAGGATCAAGGACGAGTCATCGGCAGTTCTTTAAGCGCCATGCGCAAGGTGAAGGAGCATGGCGTCAACCTACCGGAGAAGTACGTTGGCTTCCTCTTGGTGAATGCCTTGCAGCTCTCCGAGGGTGACATCAAGGCCCTGCTCAACTACTCCCGGATCAGGAAGCATGAAACGAAATTGCAACTGGCTCACGTCGGAGTGGATCGCAAGTCTGGTTCTACATCATCAAAGAGCTTTACGGCGGCGGCGAACTACATCGTGAACGAGTTCTATGAATCTGAGATTGAGGAGGAGATCAACATGGCGCTGAGGTCCTGAGCACGATCTTTCAGCAAAAGAAGAAGACCTACCAGCAGACTCTCAAGGCCAAGAAGACCAAGGATCTCTCCCGTGGATACGGAAAGGGACGCGGCAAATCTCTTTCTGTGACTGGGACGGGAGTTCCGCCCTTTCGTGAGGGACAATTCAAGATGACCATTGAGCAGCTCAAGAAGGTGACCAAGTGTGGCATATGCCACAAGGTTGGACATTGGCATCAAGAGTGCCCTGAACGAGGGCAATCATCCTCGAAGGAAGCCCACCACCTTGAGACGGAGGAGGCAATTTTGTGTGGACATCTAGAACGTGAACTTCCTGCCAAAGATGAACTGGCCGGTGAAATTTTGAGCACAGAGTCAGAGGCAGTCATCAGCACGGCTCAGGCTAGCGGCTTGAAGGTAGATGGATCAGCAAGCCACGCGGCATATAGGGCCGACCTTCATGATGACATGAAATGTTTTGAGGTTTATTTTGGCTCTGGGCATGGTATGGCTGATGAGATTCATGGTAAACCCCGAACACTTCAACAGGCCTGTAATTGGGATGATGCAATTTGTGCTACTCTATACTGGTTGTCAACGGATGGCCATAAGCCGCAAAACCTTAGAGAAACTGGCTGAGCAATTACCTCCTGGGTTCTCAGTATGCACCAAGAAACAAGAACACCGTTTCAAAAGTGTTCATGGCCGGTCCAATACTCAGTTTGTAGCACGTGTCCCATCCTCGATTGGGAAGAAGGGTTCCTATTTCATGCCGGCCGTGTTCGACAACCCTGAGAGTGCAGCTGAGGCAGAAAGTTTCAGTGGCCAGAGAAGAATTCTGAGGCAGGCATCGAAAGCCTTGGAAGAAATGACTGTATGTGGAATGGGCTTATAACTAGTCTCCAGCCAGATGAAACTTTGAACGATCCTTGCTTTTTCGAACAGCACCTGTGTACCATAGCCTCTGGAAGTGCTGATAGCACTAGCAAGCCAAAGGCAATTCACCGACTTGCCAACCTTCTAGGCAAAAGCAAGAAGCAGGCTAAGCAGGTGGCTGAAGTCTTCAATTCAAACCGCTTTGGCCCTAGAGCCTCTAAATTTGGTTTGAAACAGGGAAAGGCCTTTGATTTGGTTCTTAGGGGCACGCCGGACCATTAGGCAGTATCTTCAGAGGGAAAGACTAAGACCTGACCTGGTGTGCATTTCTCCCCCTGCAAATTCATGTCCATCCTCCAAAACTTAAGTAAGGGGAAACATGAAAACAACCCGGAGAAACAACCAGAGTATTTCAAAAACCTCTGTGAAGCCAGGTTCTTGCTCTCATCTGCGGTTGAGCTGTGTTTGTTGGTAGATTGATGGTATAAGGGTACCTTTTTATTCGAGCATCCTTGGCCATCTCGAGCTTGGACGGATCACCACACGAAGCCTTTGATGGAGGACCCCAAAGACTTGTTGATCAGGAATGACCAGTGTATGCTTGGGCTGATTTCTACGGAAAGGGAACCCCAAAAGATACCCAGGGGATGGCTTACTAACAATATTCAACCGTGGCGGAGGGATTGCGTGTAACATGTGATGGCAGTCATTCTCATAAACACATCATTGGACTGTCAGGTGGTAGGAATCGTTCAGAACAGGCTGCCAGGTATCCCAACAGGTTGGTGGACAGCATTCTCGAATTGTATCAGAAATCTACTCAGCATTCTCACATTCATGTTCTTTCTCTTGAAGAACTTTTGGATGAGTGTCACGGGGCTGATCACCTGATGCAACAAATTGAGGCCGACGTCGCTGATCAACCGCTAGTCCAGGACCTTCAAGCGGTGGAAGAGGAACAACTGCCTCTACCATTGGAATCGGGGGACAACCCCGCAGAGTCACCAGGAGAGGTCCGGTCGCTGCCCCTGGAGGAATCTATGAGTTTGGAAAATCTTGTGAGGCGGGCCGTCCTGAAGCCATCCAAATTGCCAAGAAACTGGTTTGTTCTGTGTGTCTTCAGCACAAAAGGGTTGATGGGGCTAGAAAGGGAGCACCACCAAGAAATCTGGACTCCAACCAAATTGTTGGTGCTGACACTGTGTGGCTGCCGGGGTACCACCAATCTGGGAAGCTAAAAACGGCTTTGACTCGTGTGTGTTGGTCGATTCGTTTTCAGTTGACGATTCCTTTGTCTGATCATACTCCCCATGGAACCAGAAAAGCCTTTTATCAATGGATCCGTATTTTTGCCCCCCCTGATAGAGTTTATTGTGATCTTGGTAGTGGATTTAAAGCGGTTTTTGAAGAAATGGCTGAACAACCTGATTTTGAATTGGATCCCGGCTCACCTGAAGCCCCAACTCAACGTGCAATAACAGAGCGAGCCGGCAAGACTTTCGAGGAGATCCTTTCAAAAAGCCTAATGCATACTGGATGCAGCTCCTGGGATGAATGGAGAACAGCTGTAGACGTGGTAAATGCCACGGTTAATCGGTTGTTCAACAAATCAGGCTTCAGTCCGTCGCAAAGGATGCTGGGCTTCAATCCGGACTCCCAGGAGCCCTTCTCAGCGGAGGACAGGAGGATCATGGCTCAGCCTCTAGGTTCGTAGACCAACAAGTTCAGCGGTCAGTAGAACTACGAAAGCAAGCTGCCATCGCGTTCCACGAGGCCGACTGCAGTCAGGCGCTTCGTCATGCTGTGAGATCCAGCCCGAAGAAGATCTATGACTACGAGCCGGGCCAGACCGTCTACTTCTGGCGAAAAGGAATGGAGAGAGGAAGAAAAAGGAAACCTCCCGTTAGCCATCATGGCTACCTGGTGAAGGCATGTCCTGAACATCTCCGATCTGCTACTAACGATGAGAAGTTCATCCTCACCGACTACATCGCCGACATCATGGACTCCAAGAACGACAGCGAGAAGAACAAGGCTCGGGGCTTTGAACCACCACAAGGACAAGCTCCTAAGTTTCGACTCACTGCAAAGACAAAGCACGAGGACGTTATCTTCAAGTACTCCGAGCCCAGGAGGATGAGGACTGAAGATCAGAGTGAAGCAAGCATCATCCCGGAGGACCAGGCCAGCAATGCCTACTCCCCGATGGAGTTCGGAGAAGATGACAAGGTGATGATGAAGGACGACATAGAGGCGGAGGAGCCAGCCAGAGAAGCAGAAGCAGAACTACCAAGAGAAGAAGGCGAAGGCAGCCTTACAATCTCGACTCCTGACGGAGGAGAGATGCCGAATGAACCTGAAGCTCCAAGGAACAGTACGAGAACATGATGGAGAAGATGGTGAAGAAGGAGGCAGACCCACAAAAAGATTGAGAACGGAACTCCTGGAGATCTACCTCAACCAGATCGAGAACATGGCCAGCCGGAAGCGGAAGGAAGTTCACTTGAAGAAAATGAAACCTGCGGAGCAGGAGAAATTACGAAAGGCCATCCAGAAGGAGATACAGACCAACCTCGCGTCTGGTGACTATATGAGTTTCTTTCCAAGGAGGAGTCGGAGAAGATCAGAAGAATGAAACCGGAGAAGGTCATAAAGTCAAGGTATGTCCTGACTGAGAAACCAATTGAGCCCGAAGATGTGGCCAAAGTAACCCAAGAAGGTCTCCTACTACCTGACCAGGCAGATGGCCCATGCAAGGCAAAGGCCCGACACGTCATGAAGGGCTTCTCAGAAACCAAGCATGCGATGGCTCATTGGGCACTTAGACACCTAGGCCTTCCACTCTGGCAACAGGATTCAGAGGGAACTATATGCCGAAGTCCGAAGTACCACCCGAAGGGAAGACATGTTACGGTCTCACCGATGGACCGTACGCTTCGTACCAACACATATCCAGGATTCCATTGGAACTTGGGCACGAGAAGAGCAGGGCTGATCCCTGCCTGTTCTTCCTACGAGGCCAAGGTGGCAAGGAAGTGAACGGAACCATCGGAATGGGGTGGCTGAAGAAGAACTACCAAATGGGCAAGTACACCACAAGTTCACCGGCAAGAACATTGTCCAGAACAAGGACGGCAGCATCTTTGCTCACCAAAGCACTACATCGAGAACCACATCCCGAAGATAGAGGTCAGCCAAGCGAGATCGGCCCAGAAGTTCTCACTATGCACCGAGGAGGAGATAGCAGCACTTCGTGGACTGATTGGTGGACTCAGTTGGGTCGCAAAAGAAAGGGCCCGACATAGCCGGTCGTGTGGCATTACTACAACAAACTATGCCACACCCCTACGTCCGGGACTTGGTCGAGGGCAACCAGATCCTGACAGACCTTCAGAGAGAGCCCGACCTGGGTATATATCAAGATTCTGCCCATTCCTCTATCAAGACTTCGAGTCGGAGTAGCCACCGATGCCTCATGGGGCAATGCTGGACCGAATGTCCCACATGAAAACACAGAAGACTATCTACGATAAGGACCTCGAGACCTCAGATCGCCCGGAGATGATATCCATCGCCGGGTGGAAGAGCTACAAGCTTAAGAGATGTACGGTGAACACTCTTTCAGCAGAGCGTCGTTTCTCCTAGCGGAAGTATTTGGCATTCACCTGGAGCTGGGAAAATGGGAGCAGCAACTATCCCGGACTCTAAGAGCCTCTATGACACGGTGACGAAGTGCCGTGCCGAAATACTTCATCCCACATTGATGACAAGCGGACTGCTATCGACCTGACAATCCTCAAGAGCGACTTGGCTGAGTCTCAAGGTGGGAGAGGGTAACATGATCTCTGATGCCTTGACAAAGAAAATGAATCCCCGATTTCTTAGATACATCATGAAGGTTGGCAAATGGACACTGGCCGAAAACGGTCACCAAGCGCTGATGGATCAACAGCCAACATAAAGTGGCGCCGATGTGAATCTGCTTGGCACTTGGCTGTTGATCCCGTTTCAGGTCCGCCACCGACAGCGTGGCCCAAGGGCTAACGTGCAGGGGAGACATGCACGTGGCAAAAGTGTAGCAGCTGCCCACATAGACATATGTGTATATACTATATACGCTCTCCGTGTGTGTTTATATATCCATCTCAAACTAAACCAGCCACATTCAAACCATGATGCGTTGAAGACATCCTTTCTTTGGGTCCATCAGGCGCTCTTTGAACTCAGGACCCGCAGCCTGGAACACGCAAGAACCTATCAAGAACCTATTCTGCATGCTTGCAGGCAGATCAAAAAGAGTAACAACGCCACAAGAGAGTAGCAGCAATCAAGAAACCGTGGAACCATGCCGATGTTGCTTTTCACACATCACCAGAGATTATTGCTGTTAAGTCATTCAAAACATGTGTCCTGAGACCTCTGCAAAGAACGGTTTTGATTGATGAAGCGAGTATATATATATATAAACAAGAAATCGATGTTTGGTTGCGTTGACTCGCGTTGGTGAATGATTGCATGAACCAACAATTGCACAAGCGAACCGGATTTACAATGACTGAGCCTCTGAATGAGGGAGTGAGCGAGGGGACTGGGGACTTTGTAGGTATTTGCATTCGTTACACACTTCATCTACGATGGTTGCCTGCAGTGTGTTTCCATCCGTCAAAAGAATTGGTGATGTTGATTAGCCAGCAGGCCAGTTGGGGAGCGTGGGGGCTGCTCAGAGAGTGAGTAGCAAATTGAATTTGTTGCTGTGCCATCGGGGATAGGACGGGAGGAGGACGGGAGGAGGACGGGAGGAGGACGGGAGGAGGACGAGGCGGCGGGCGGGCGGATACAGAACTAAAAACAAAAACCCCACACGTCAATGTGGGGGAAAAGGTTGAAACTTGGGGGGCATATTTTGGCTTGAGGGCGGCTAAGGCCTCCAAGATCCTCTTGCCAAGACCACGCTGCATGTAGGTATGCAAAGAGATTGAGCCCAGGTGCGGTAGGAAGGCATAGCCTTCGTCAAAAGACACGTCAAAAGGCAAGTCAAGAGGCAAACCAAAGCAAGTCTATAAATATATATATATATACAGTATATGGTCCCGTCCTCCGTCTCTCCACCCCCCCAATGGGTTGGGGGAGGCACTACCAGCCACAGGGGAAGGGGGAAGATCTCATATGGGGGCAATAGATGGAAGCATGCAAAGACGTAGCATGGGGGGGGTCCATAACATACATATAACGCGCAAATATATCATATACCAGTAGTACCGCGCAAGGCGGTGGCGGAAGTTTCAAAAATAGGAAACCTATAGGAGAGATTGGTTGTTGTGAATCACGGATGGCAGAGCGAATCCACTGATGGACCGAAAGGTGGTTGGAGCTGTTTTTTGGAGTGTTTGCAATGGTTGCAGTGGTCACCTCGTCGGTCACCTCACCCACAACTGTTGGATGTAGTGTGGTGTAGTGCAGCTGTAGTTGTAAATGTAGTGTAGTGGAGTTGTAGTTGTGGTGTAGTGTAATTAGTGTAGCGTAGTTGCAGTTGCATCTGCGGTGGTGTAATGAATGTAGTGTAATGTAATGTAATGCAAATGTAGTGTAGTCTAGTGTAATTGGGTGTAGTGTGGTATGGTATGGTGTGGTGTAGTGTGGTGTCGTGCAGTGTAATGCAATTAGTGTAGTGTAGTGTAGCGTTGTGTAGTGTAGTGTATTGTGTTGTGTAGTGTAGTGTACTGTAGTGTGGTGTAATGCAATCAGTGTAGTTGTAGTTGTAGTTGTAGTTGTCGTGTAGTGTAGTGTAGCGTTATATAATGTGTTGTAGTTGTAATTGTACTCGTAGTCGTAGTTGTAGTTGTAGTTAGTGTAGTGTAGTGTCGCATGGTGTAGTGTAGTGTAGCGTAATTGAGTGTAGTGTACTGTAGTATAGTGGAGTGTAGTGTAATGAGGTGTAGTGTGGTGTAGTGTAGTGTAGTGTAGTGTAGTGGGGTGGGGTGTAGTGTAGTGTAGTGCAGTGTAGTGTATTGTAATTAGTGTAGTGTAGTGTAGTCTTATGTAGTTGTAGTTGTTGTAGTTAGTGTGATGTAGTGTAATGTAGTGTAGTGCAGTGTAATGTCATTAGTGTAGTGTAATGTAATGTAGTGTAGTTGCAGTTGTAGTTGTAGTTGTAGGTGTAGTTCAGTGTAGTGTAGTGTAGCGGAGTGTAGTGTAATGTAATTAATGTAGTGTAGTGTAGCGTAGAGAAGTGTAAATGTAGTATTGTTGTTGCTGTTGCTCCTGTAGTTGTAGCTGTAGTTAGTGTAGTGTAGTGTCGTGTCGTGTAGTGTAGTCTAGTCTAGCCTAGTCTAGCGTAGTGTAGTGTAGTGGAATGTAGTGTAGTGTAGTGTAATGTAGTATAGCGTGGTGTATATAATTGAATGTAGTGTAGTGGAGTGTAGTGGAATGTAGTGTAGTGTACTGGAGTGTAGTGGAATGTAGAGTAGTGTAGTGTAGTGTAATGTAGTGTAGTGTAATTAAGTGTAGTGTAGTGGAGTGTAGTGGAGTGTAGTGGAGTGTAGTGGAGTGTAGTGGAGTGTAGTGTAGTGGAATGTAGTGTAGTGTAGTTGTAGTGTTCTCATTCCAGTGCGTACATAACAACCGGACGGCTTAACATGTGTGGTTATCTGGTCCTTTCATTCATATATACCACTGCGCCACTCCGTGGCTCAAGACTTGCTCGCATAGCGGCAAAATCACAAGTGTTCACTGACTTAGTCTAGTCTAGATCTAGGGCCCCAATCTAGGGCTCCCTGAATACCGGGGATTGCTACCTCACTCCCTGTGGTGTGGTCGGGGTGTGGTACTGTCCCCCTCCCCCCCCTGTGGTGTGGTGGGGGTGTGGTATCGTTTGTTGGGTATGTATGGTGTGTATGGTCAGTCTGGCACGGCATGTTTGGAAAGTATGGTATGTTTGGTATGTATGGTAGGTATGGTATGTATGGCATGAATGGTTGGTATTGTATGGATGGTAGGTATGGTATGTAAGTCTGTTGGGTATGGTATGCATGGTAGATGTAGTAATTCTGTTTCATATGTATGGTATGTGTGGTATGTATGATAGGTATGATAGGTGTGGCATGTATGGCATCATTGGAATGTATGGTAGGTACGGTGTATGTTAAACACATGTAGTGTTGCGAGAGCACACAGGTAAAAAATTAATAGGAAGTAGATACATAGCACATGTATACATGACTATAGGTAGCACGCAGGTACTTTGAGGGAGTCTGTGTGCTACGTAGGTCGTCTAAAAGGTAGTGTACCTAGTAAATGCGAGGCTGGTAGCCAGAAATGCTGCAAAGACCTAGCAAATACGAAGCTGGACCTCAGAAATAGCTTGCAAATAGAAGGGAAGGGGGGTGCTACCTGGGGATCCAACCCATTGGAGGGGTGGAGAGACATGTATGTATATATATATATATAAATATGTATCATATATATATATGTTGTATATAAAGCATATACTTTACGTACCCAACACATGCCTATATACCTATATACCTACATTATATATACAACCGTATGGTACCGTATGTAATTCCCAATACTATATGCTATACACCTAATATCCGTTGACTACCAATTTACATAACTAACACCCCCACCAGTGGTAGGGTCTGGAGTATATACATATACTTATGTATATATATATATATTAATATATACAAATACTATATATGGAGCAAAAAATCCGAATCGTTCTGATTGTTTTTGTTCTATGTGTACAATTCAGAACTACAGTCCAAAAACTCACAAGCCTCACGGGCCAAATTTTGACCAAAACCACGTCATCACACCTTTGACTCGGTCAGCATCAAAGCTACCTGCATGATCTGTCCGCGCTTTGTCCAACCTGCCTCTGGCAGCCCAGGTTGCAGCAAAGCCCTTGCTGGCTGTTGGATCCTTGTCGCTGAAACTATCCAGCAAAGCTGGTCTGTAATCCGGGTGCTCCTTGGCTGCAACATGCTGAAACTCCCCTCCGAATAAACTCACATCGGCCTGGAGTTCTTCTGATGGTCCTGCTAAAATTTGTCAAAAGTAGTGCATACTTTGTAATGGCTTTCATATTTTGGGTGTACGTACTCATGTGTATATTAATAGATAAAATGTGTATGTAATATTATAATTATATATATTATATTATATTATATTATATTATATTTTGGTTCAGGCACCTGCCTCTATCAATGTTTTGGCACACGTCCAATGTTGTCCTCGATGTTGTAAGTGATGTTGTGAATTTCTCGTTTTTTTTCCGCGTAAATTTTGATGTTTTAAATTTGGCGTTGTTTTTTCTCACGTAAATTTTGATGTTGTAAATTTGGCGTTTTTTTTTCTCACGTAAATTTTGATGTTGTAAATTTGGCGTTTTTTTTTCTCACGTAAATTTTGATGTTGTAAATTTGGCGGTTTTTTTTCACGTAAATTTTGATGTTGTAAATTTGGCGTTTTTTTTTCTCACGTAAATTTTGATGTTGTAAATTTGGCGGTTTTTTTTCTCACGTAAATTTTGATGTTGTAAATTTGGCGTTTTTTTTGCTCACGTAAATTTTGGTGTTGCAAATTTGGTGTTTTTTTTCATGGAAATATTGATGTTGTAAATTTGGCATATGTTTTTCTGATGTAAATTTTGATGTTGTAAATTTGGTGTGTTTTTTCCTCACGTAAATTTTGTTGTTGTAAATTTGGCGTTTTTTCCCGACGTAATTTTTTATGCTGTAAATTTGGCATTTTTGATTCATTATGATTATGAAGTTTTGATTCAGTATTCTGATAAGTGATAAGGTAGGTTAAAGTATGTGTTTTTGTCAGCCCACCAGTTGAAAGGTTATTAAGTTATCAATAAGTTATCCAGTTATCCATGTCAATGATGATAAAAGATGATAAAAGTACATGTTTAAAAACTAAGTTCAAGTTAAGTTCAAAAAATATAGAAAAATATTAAAAAAAAACATTGTAAATTTCTGGTACATCCGAACGGTTCAGAACGGTTCAGGCGTATCAGTTTCTGATACATCCGAACGGTTCAGGCGTCTCCGAACTATCCCGAACTATTCCGAACTAATCCGAACTCAGGCCTCCGATACATCCGAACGGTTCAGAACGGTTCAGGCGTATCAGGTTTTTGCCTTAGATTCTAAGCTTAAAAGTGGGCAATTTTTACAACATAACAAGTTGAAGATGCATGACTTGTAAACAAGTAAAGGTTTTAAGCTATGAGGCTTTAAGTTAATTAGTTAATTACAAATTATAAGAGGAAGAAAAGTTGTAAGACAAGTGATGTCAGTTGCAAGTTGTGAGTTGTAAATTGCCATAAGTCAAGGTACTTCAAGTAAAACTTCGGTGAAGAAAAGCATGTCTGAAAGTAACTTAGGCTGTGACACAAGTCGTGGCAGAATGTTTTCCCAAAGAACGGGGCTGGAAGAAACTTAGGCTAAATTTCACAATCTTCTGAAAAGTATATGTCACACCCAAACCCGTCTAAGGCAGGCAATCTTGTCACGTGAGCGGTCAGTGGTCCTCTGGGATCCATCCTGGGGGCAAGGATGAGGAAAACGAAGTGACACCTGAACCGTTCTGAACCGTTCTGAACCGTTCGGATGTATTTCATATAGTTCGGGATAGTTCGGGATAGTTCGGGATAGTTCGGGACTGTGCCCATGTTAGGCATTGGCCTCTATAATTTGCCTGTGTGTCACCACACATTTGCCCATAAGTTTTTTTTTCCCCCCCAAACTCCTTTTTGCTGCGCGTCAGTGTTCGTGGGTTAAGGCGGCAGCCGGCTGGGGACACGGGGGTCTTCCCAGCGCGCGTCAGCAAGTAGGGTGGGGAGGGAAGGGGGGGGGCCGTGCATCGCCTCTTCTCCGTGGAGGGGTAGCTCCATGAGGCTGGCGGCGTGAGCCTCGAATTTTACCTGGTTTCAAAACGCATACAACCCACATACATACATACAGACATAGACATGCATGCATGCATACATCCTGTTATATCTTTGCTTTATTGATCGGACCTGCCTTTCTCGCAGGTGAGTCTTGTCTTGTTACCTGCCGTTACCTACCAATTTTACTTGCCACAGCCTACCAGGATCTACCAGGTTTAAGGAAACAAACTAGTTCATCATTTATTCAGCATTATGTATTATATTGTATTATGCAACACTTACACGCAGGAAGTGACGATGTGACACCGCAACCATGTACCAATGTGTGACAGTGACCTTTACACAATGGAAGAACCACAGCCACAAGCACGGTTATCACCAAGAACGGAACAACGAGAACAAGAACTGGAAAAACGAAGAAAAAGAAGAAGAAGAAGAAGAGCAACAACAACAACAACAACAACAACAACCACGAGGACGACGACGACGACGACAACGGCAAAACCAACCAATGAAGGGCCAATGAAGGGACAAAAACAAGTTAAACACACCCACCAGATTCAATGCCAGCTGAGTTTCAAAAAACAAACCAAAACCCAAACTGTGAAATCAGGAGTGTGACAATACAAAAAAGAATTGACCCATCTCAACATCAAAACAATCATTGCAATAACGACATGAACAAAAATGGGCGCGCATAGTAAATCATGAATCATGACTCATGACGCAAAAATCACAGGAAACAAAAAATACAACTCACAATGTCAGTCATGACTTGAAGCAAGAAAAGTTTGGGGTTGATAACATCAATCATGACATGAACAAGACTAAAAGTGGCGTTTACAAGATCCAAATTTATGTAAGGAAAAAGAATTTGGCTTTTGTACAGCGTCAAAATGTACGTTAGGAAAAAATTGGCGTTTACAACGTCAAAATTTACGTAAGACAAAAAAATCGGCGTTTACAACGTCAAAATTTACGTAAGACAAAAAAAAATCGGCGTTTACAACGTCAAAATTTACGTAAGAAAAAAAATTGGGGTTTACAACGTCTTCGACAACGTCAACCAGAACGGTACACGTCAGCCAAAACACAGAGGGGCAATTATAGAGGAAGGTGCCTGAACCAAATTAAATTAAATTATATTATATTATATTATATTATATTATATTAAGGAAAACACCTTTGCTCTTTTGTGCCCGCAGGACACGAGATGGTACATGAAAAAGATGCGAGGGTGCCCCTCCCGAGCCTCTTTTCACTGCAATAGCTAAAGAACAGCTTTGAAATACCGCGAGACAACAGCTTTGAAATTTCAAAGTTTGAGATGGTATTTGAAGATTAGTTTTTAGGAGGTAGCCACAGGAAAAAAAAAACAAGAAACTATCTATCCCTTCCACGTCCCCTTTTCTTCGACGAATGTCGGGGCTCAACCCGGCTTACCTCCTGCCATTGCTTGTGATATCTAGATTGAAGAGGCGTGCGAACAAAAGAAAGATCTGTAAGGAGGGCAATACTATCTTGGATATAGATTTTTACAGTCCTTTCAGCACTCCAACGCCCCACATGGGCAATTTGAGAATAGTTGCGGCATCTGTTGCCCCTCCTCTTCGGAGGCTGTACGGTTTGAATTTGTAGGAGAGTAACCCTGAATGGTTTAACACCTCCTGAAAAAAGGATCGGAATTTGCTACCGCTCCAAGGAACTAAAAAAGCATCATCAGAAACAGAACTTTTCCATCGTTGCATCAAATAGACAGCAGCTAAGTCGTGGCATATAACTGTACCAGCATGTGGATTGCGTGGAGCGGTCTTAGTGTCTCCTAAATATAGAATGAAGGAAGTACCTTGAGGCGGAAATAGAAAATCACGCGCTTGCATGGCCAAAAGTTCACCAGTTCGAAGGAGACACTTAAACGCCATATACATTGCAACAGCAATCTCGCGGGAACGGTCAGCTGCGCAACCTAGAAAAACTGCCAACGTTTCATTTGTGAATGGGGGAGCGCGCGCTGGCAGCTCATTGCGCTGCCACGTTTTTAGAAGGCGCCACGCGCCTTGTAAATGATTCTTCATGGACGGCTGAAAATGCTGAATCGAACTGATGGCGTCCCCTGCCAAGGAAATACCTTCGCCTTCCTGCCACAAAAATTCAATATACTCCTCCAATTGTGAATCAACCTGGGATTTTGTAGGTGCAATTTTTTGGTTTTGCCCTGCCAAAAAATGAACAAACTTTTGAAAGGCCCTCTGATAACGTTCGACGGTTGCTGGACGAATGACCAAACTACGCAATGTGCCTAAACCTTGCCTGCGGGATTGTTGCTCTGCCTTGGTGATACCCTCAACTATTTGACGCCTCACCATTTGCGACGAAATGGCCGCCTGGACGGCTTGTCTGCTGGGTTTTGATGGGTATCTGTGTAAGCAAGAACAACAGTTATCCCACTAATTAGCAATAAAGAGGCGAAGCGTTTGGTCAACCGTCGGAATTTGTAAGAACTGGAACGTCCCTTATTGATGATTTGTAAACTTACCATGGAATCAAGGAGATGTAAAATCTTCCTATTATAGGCCCGCTGCTTGAGCACCCTCCACTTCAACCCAGAATATGCAGCCCTCAGCTCCAGTTTGTTTATGTGTTCAGGTGACACCTGCTGGTGGCGCCACCTCCAACCCGTGATTGTTTTCCACTTCCACAACCTTGCTGGAAGAGATTGCCTGAATCTGTGTGTTGACTGGGTGCTCTCTGTATCAGAAGTCAACAGAACATCTGTACCTTTCGCAGAAACCAAATGTGTAATACGGCTCACCAATGCAATTTCCTGTTCTACAGAGCGTTGTTGTGTCACAAAAGGTTGGTTGTTTCCTCCAGGTGGTGGACGAAAAAAGCAAGCCACTTAAAGAAACAGAAGATCCAGATTTTGAAGTGATTCACCAAATCTTTGGGGGATACAGGAGAACAAAAACCCTCCTTAGCAAGCAAATTTGATAGAAGAAACGCAACAACACCAACATGCCAAGCATTTCCCACCAAAGTCATCCGATCGTCATCGCACCCTTGGGGGTTGCTTTTTCGCTGCTGCATTGTATTCGCATGTAATGTGTAATCCACCGGCATGCCCATTATAGCTTCCTTCTCTGCAATGGAAAGCATGCGCCACCCCTTTTTACGATGAATGACCCCGCTACAAAATTGATAGGCATAAGGGGGAAAACGAAACCTATCGCAAGCCCACTTTCCTAAGTCAGCAGGAGTACATGCAGCAATTCCAGCGGGCTTTAACCCAGGTCTGTTCTTCGGCTGTGCTGTTGTGAATGTGCAAAAGCGGTAGCCTGGGGAAGTGAGTGCCCACCCAGGATTCAGAAACTCTTTGGGTTGAACGTCGGCGAAAAGATCAATCACCCCATAATCTTCACAATGGTCAGTTTGAGGGGGCAACACGGAAACCCCCTCCTGAGATTTTACAACCCAGTTAAACCACCACAGCCGAGGCCGCCTGCAAAGACTAATCCCTTTAGCATCGATCAAATAAGGGAGAAGCTATATACCAAGAGAAAAGCCAGCCCGATCTTTTGGGGACATACTAAAAACACCTTCCATGAGGGAATAAGTTGGACACCAGGAAAATGCCGTTTGCACCAGCTGACCCAAACTACAAAGTTCTGATACAGGGATGAGCGCAGATCACGGTCGGCCCCAAGCTTTGTAAAGTTTAAACTTGACACTCCTTGACAAGGTGGCCCTTCTGCAAATATGACCATAGCGCAATTTGGAAAACGGGCTGCCCAGCTCATTACCTCTGCTTTACCGACTGTTGTGATGTCTTCAATGAAAATGCAGGAGGGAAAAGCTGACTCCACTACCCTCCTAGCCTGTGGGTTTCGTTCAATTGCAATATATCCCGCAACTGGTGCGTTCAACAGGTCTAAGGCCAATCGCAGTGATCCTACCCCATCAAAGGCACTAATCACGACAATGCCGCCCTCAGGATCGTTGTCCGGGAGCTCTCCTCTTACCAGTGCCTCAGAGGCTTGAGTGCCGGAAATTGTGAGCCCTGTACTTCGGGTGATCCCCCCCCAGTTTCAGATGCATCAGAAGCTGTCACAATAGGGTCCACTTCACTTCTGAAATTCATGTATGCCAATGAGCTCAAGAAAAAGGAGGCTATTAACTCCTCCTCTACCTTTCGAGGAAGGGGTACAAGCTTCCGGTCATCTTGGCATCCAACGATGAATTTCCAAATGTCATTCAAGCAGGACATGAGGCATCTGCGGAACGAAAAAAGATAAACCAGGCCACCTGCAAGCATCTGAAGTTGTTTCTTTGAAGCCCTTCGCTTTTGAATCACGTCCAGCATTCCCAGCAAATATTTTGCAACTGTGCTACTCTTGGCTGAACATACCCCGGACTGACCATCGATCCAAGCCCCTTGTACCTCCGCCGCCGTGGCATTCACCACTGCCTTCTTCTCATTCCGAGGCACTTTCATGGTCAAATACTCCTCTTGCAGGAGTTCTGTCAAGGAAGGCTTTCCAGCCTCCAGGATGTTACGGGAGCGAGCAAATAAGGAATCGAAATTATCAAGGTAAACGCGATAATATTGGTCAACCCGGGGGAAATCCCTGTCTCGCCTGATTTCGTGACTGGTAGCGATGTGATTTTTCAATGCTCGGCTTACAAGCTGTCTATGCAGGTGTTGTGACAGGGCCACGGAATTCAAATATCCCATTGGCAAAACTTTGCTGTGCAACAGATAATTCTCCTTTGGGCTAGCGGGAACAAAGCTCCTTGGCACGGGTCGCTCGAAACATAGGTACGGGTACCAAACAGGAGGTAGCCCTATGATATAGAACATGGCCCTTATGTCTTCACTTGAAATGATAAGATCTTGGTGCGGGTGCAACTCTAGCTGAAACATCTGACTCAGGACTGGAAGCGTGCTGAGATCGCCACCCAAGGGAAGAAAATTTTGATTTACAGGCCGAAGATCCATGATCAATCTCAAAATGGCGGTTCCATCTTCCTTGGTCTCATTTTTGGGCACCCCAAATAGGCCTCCTAAAATAGGAGACCCTTGTACCTGAAAGGCTTTTGATTCTGGGATTATTCCACAAATTCCCCTTGCCAGGAGGCCGTCAACCATTTCAGGCCAGTCCTCGTACGGAATCATGACCCTTGGTGGGCGGATCCACGCCCGTTGGGACTCAGGTTTCAGCCACCGTTCAGGGTCTAAAATGAAATCCCGCATCCCGCCTGTACAGAGGTCTGCCGCTGGAACAATTCCGGCAACGCCTGCCTTTGGCAAGCTTTCGTCCACATTCGCCCACCTCACAGTCTGCGCGACATGAACCTCTTCGCCATAAGTATTCACATGCTTATGGTTCCAAAAAGAGGCCACGTCAAAATCATGTATCTTACATTGAGACCAATAATCAAACAATTTCATGTTTTCTCTCAGTTGATCCACAAGACGAATTTGCTGCCTAGTAGGGACTCCCTTCCCTACGGCAAAGGATCCTGTGGCCAACCAATTCAAACTTCTTATGATGCCCTCTCCCCACTCCTCATGCTTCTCGCCGCCCAAGGTCCACTTACCCGGGGGCAAGGGGATCGGAAAAATACCGTCCATGGAAGTGCCCTGCGAGCCTGCTGCTTCAGGAGTGGAAAGATCTTTTAAGTAGGGTAGCATTACACCCCCCAAATCCAAAAGAAACTCTTTAGAACCTTTTCATTTATCGCTGCGGGCCTTGAGTCCCTCACTCCGCCCTACGGCAGCCGAGTCCGCCATGGCTCGTCCGGTTTGACCGGGGGAAGCTGTACCCTACAAAACTATCACTATGTAAGGCTCTCTCCTTCTTCAAGTAGGAGAGTTTTTGTCGCAAATCAGAAAGTTTCTTCTCTGTACGAGAATCGTCGGGCCGCGCGTCATTATTCAGGAGGCAGGCGTCATGACCTTGCTCTCCTCGGACGGCTTCCCCTTGATGTTTCCTTTGTGCTTTCCCTTGTTGGACCATTGGCCCTTGTCCCCCTTGTTTGTCGATTCCCCTTGGAGGAGAGAAGGAGCAGGAGGCTGACCAAGAGGCTGACCTCCATTTCCTTTCCCTCCTTTCAAGGCTCTGTTCAATTTCACTCCTGCCTGGAATTCTTTGTGGGCATAACGGCTTTCCGCCTCCGATGCCAGTCCCTGGAGCTCTCGAGTCAGCAGCTCCACTTCTGTTGCAACCATGGGGTCTGATCCACTTGCGATCATTTCTAGAGACTTGAGACGTTGTGAAAGAAGATCTGCTACTTCGAGTATCGATCCATCCACAATCTTGTCCAGGGCTGAACGCAGAGTTGCCATCTCCCGAAGCATCGGGCGCGAGGAAGTTTTTGTTTGCAACACTTGCCTGTAATACCTCCTGAAAATTCCAAAAACCGTGGTCTCCTCCCCCACCGTTGATTGCGCCAGAAGTGTGGAAGCATCCTTGGCAGCTCTGCGGGTCAGATAACCAGGAAGGCGGCGAGCAACCACCCTCAAACGGTGGTCCGTGGCTAAGTCCCCGCCGCTGCTGTCTGTCTCTCCACTGGAAGAACTGTCGTCTTTCTTCCTCAAATTTATTTTGATTGGCTTGTGATACTTGGGATCCAAGGGCGTCCCATCTGTGTTCCACTTTGCCTTCTCTAACATTTTCCGGACTCTTTGTCACTAACTTATGAACAAGGTCCAGATAGTAAGGGTTTAGATAGTAGGGGTTTGGTGTTCAAAGCTTTCAGAATTGATACCCCTTTCTTGAGAAGAGCAAAGCAAGTTTTAGTAATGAATAGGCACTCTAAAATTAGATAGGCAAATCTTAAGTAGGACTACATTTGTTCAAGGGGCAGGCCGCAATGCTACGGAAATTAAACCAAAGATTTGCTTATTTTGCCTGTGCTTACCCTGAACGAGGATACTGCGTTCATTGTGATGTCTTGGGGGTGATGTTTAGGGAAGGTGATATGAGTGTGGGCGCCCTTGTGCTTGTATATTTTCAAACAAAACGGAGGAAATGACATGCTTGGTTGACCTTCCAAGATCTGATGCGCAATAAGTCAATTTAATTTCAATTGACTCAAATGTTTCAAGCTGTCATTGACAGCATGAAGTGTCAATTGCGTCAGTTGACAAAATTGAACCTGTCTGCAAATGACTCCAAAACCCAAACCCCTGCTGTGAATTCCAAAAAACTGATTGTCAATGTTGCTAAATAATTCAGACTGACTGGCAGGGCCCAGGCTGCCACCTGTTAAGCAAACAAGCCTATCAATCATACAAACACATCGCCAACAAAAAAGCACACACCACGCTGCGCGCAATGCAAAGCAATTTTAAACCAGGTGCAGTCGGTGCAGTTGAGTCTGCCCAAGCCCCAAGCTGACAACAGGTTGCCGCTTCTCCCCCATGAGCTGCCGCTCCAAGAAGATCTGATTTGATCAAAAATCAAGGCAACCGCTGAGCCAAATTCAGCAGTGTAGCGCAACCCATCATCACGCCATGACCTCCCATCATCAAAGGGTTCATGCCATTAATGCCAGTGACTCCCATCATCATCATAGGATGCGCGCCAGCGCCACCACCACCACCATTGCCAAACGCTTGCTGCAATGTGCGCTGCCTCTTTGCTGCTTGAAGGACAGGCATGAGCTCAACAACTGACACAATTGACGCACTTGATCAATATTGACACAAACGGCCGCTAATCTCCAAAATGACTGCGCCGCATCATAGCCACATGCAGACTGGCATCGCTGTATCTCGTGCTTGTATGGCATCAATGTGTCAGATTCATTGTGTTTGAGTTCACGTGTGTTTCGCCCATTTTTTTATTATACATATGCCAATGTTCTTGTTTTTTTTTAAGATTGTAATCTACCCACGTGTCCTCACTATGTCTCAATATGTCTCAATATGTCTCAAAATGTCTCAAAATGTCTCAATATGTCTCAAAATGTCTCAATTTGCACTTTTGAGCAATTTTGAGCTGATCTGGGCGCAACAAAATTTGATTAATTTTGAGCAATCTTGAACAATTTCGAGCAATTTTGAGCTGATCTGGGTGCAACAAATTGAGTTAATCAATTTATCTACTATCTAAAAACCTCTACGATCTGAACCCCTACGATCTGGACCTGGTTTGAAAATTAATGAAATTAATTTTGAGCAATTTATTGTTTCATTGCCGTCACTGGCCTGGCCTAACTTCTTCTTCACAGCCAGCAACTCAGTCTTCAATCCTCACATGAATTTTGTCGACTCTTCAGTCAGGACATCCAGCCTCTTCAGCACCTGCTTGCTTGCGCAGGATCACGCCGCGCAGTCATCGCAGACAAGTTGCAGCGCAATGGCAACGCACAACATAATTCACAGTGGCTGCAAACCAGTCAAATTCAACAACCAAATTATCTGTCAAATCCTTGATTCATCCTGCAAGTCGCCAGTGTTTCTCTGAGAGTCCGACAAAGTCAATCAAGATAAACAAGTCTAAGAAATCAACAACTCAAGGGATAGAAGTGACATTTGAACATTTGAAACAGTCACTGGACCAAGCGTTTAAAAAAGTGCACAGCGCAAGTCTGTCACACACACACATGTCAACACCGAAGCGGGGCAAGAAACAATTGACAAAATTGACCAGAAACATTTGACCCTTGTTTTAAAATTGTTTTGACAGGGCCCACGCCGCAAAGTTATTACAAAGTTCACCACCAAAACTTAATTATTGTTCGTGCGCAGCCGCTCTTGGCATCTCCAAACCCAGTCTCACAAGTTACTCTTGCACATCAAGTGCATTTTCATTATCGCACAACTAAGTGTTTTTAATGAAAGGATCCGGTCTTAATTCGTTCTACATTGTCGTTGGTGAACGTTTAAAAAAAATATCCCAAAATAAAAACGCCAAGCAACAGAAGATGTTGCTGATCTAGTGTGTGCACAGACACGTATGGCACTCGAAACAAAATCTGCTCAAAAAAGCCATTTCGAGACAACCAGGGTCACCTTGAAAACCCCTACGATCTAGAACCCCTACGATCTAGACCTTGTTTGAAAGTTAGTGACTTTGCTGGCCTCTCCTTTTCGACTTCTTTTTGCGGCGGCTGCTGCTGCTTGAGGAACTTTCTCGCTTCTTGTTTTCCTTCTTTTCCTCCTGGGGAAGAGGAGGAGGAGGAGCCCCCGCTCTGCGGGCAAGCTCCTGCAAGGCTTCCGTTTCGACCTCGGGAAGGCCTGAAGGAGCGTTTTGGGTGTCCTCGCAATTCTTTCCCCAGTCCATGTTGATTGTGTTTATCCGCTTTGCTTTGAGAGCGTATGCTACTCCGCCCAGTCTCAGCCTCTGCTCGGCGGGAGTGTCGCGGTAGCAGACATACAGGTAATTTCCTGGCCCAGGGTGAGCAAGCCTCCATGCCCTCAGGCTGCTGAAGTTGGTGCCCTGCACTGTCATCCCGTACCAGACCCCCTCTGCATCTTGATGAACTTCTTCTAACCTCCCTACGATCTCGCCCCTCTCGTCCTGATAGATTCCTTCGATATGAATCAGGGACTGTAGCGGGAAAGAGTCGCGAGCTAGGTCTTGTACCTCTATCCATTCTTTTTGGGCTTCTTCTCGGCTCCTCACTCACCTTTGCCTTGCTTTGGCTCCTGGGCGGGGCTTAGGAGCCGCCTTAACAACAGCTGCTGGTCGTCTAAGAGGCGGACGCCTCCTCGGTGGCATCCGCCCAGCTGTTCCTTTTTTCGGTCAGCGCCTTTTCTGCCTCCGATTTATCCAGACTAACAGGCTGATCTGTCTGATCGGGAGGAAGAAGTGGCTCCTTTTCTTCAAGAGAAGGAGCCGGTGGGAGATGAAAAGAAATTGTCACAGGAGCGCGGGGGTCCTCAGGCTCTGACGCTGTTTCTTTTGGCGGGGCTTCCTCGCTGTTCACTTGACCCCTACCCTTGCCGTTTACTTTCTTGGCTGCCCACCAAAGAGGCCTTTTCAAGCCTTTGTTTTTCTTTTTCTTCTTCTTTTGCGCCTCGTTTGCCTGTGGCTCTTTGCCCCTGCCCTTTCCTCCTTGAGGGGTCCTAGGAGAAGTAGGCCGGGAACGCTGTAAAGGAGGCCGGGTATCAGACCGACTTTCTCTAAGTTGAATTTCCCTGCCTTGGCTGAACTCAGATCTGGGTCTCAAACTAGGTTTCCACTCTTCTCGCCGATGGGCTGATCGGAGTGGAGGTGGAGAGAAAAGCCTCCTTGAAGAAGAGGATGTCTTTCTGTGAAGTGCGGTAGGTGAAATGGCCCTGGGGTCTCTACTGTCCCCTTGGAAACGTAAGGCTTGTGAGCAGACCGTCCGGGATCTGTGAGGCTCAGCAGAGGAATCCCAATCCAGGTATTCCCTCTTACGCTTGATTTCTTGCGAAGGGGATGCCTTCCTTCTGGGCTTTGAATCAGATCGGGCTTCTCTTCGGTCCAGAGGCCTGTCTCACTAAGAGGGGGCTCTGTGTCAGTTCCTGTCCCCTCTTCTCGGGCACGCCTGCGGCGATGTCTCTCTCTTCTCCTTCCTTGCCCGGGGCTAGGAGAATATGTGGATGTGACTTTGGAGGCTCTGTTGTCTACTGAGTGTGATCCTCCTGAAGATGAAGGAGGAGCACTAGCCCCCTTAGGAGGAGGAGGGGCAAGGACAGCAGCTCACGCTTAGGTCCCCAACCAATTGAGACAACCTCCGGACTGCCTCTGTATAACCGTGGATGGTAAACCCTTCTGAAGTGGCCAATTGTAACACATGAAGAGACCCGCTGCACAAAAAACAATGGGTCCCCCTTTCTGCAAGCCACCTCCTACACCTCTCACAGAGAGGAGGAGATGCCTGCATGCTACGAAACAGCCGGGCTACGGAGCAAAAAGAGGCAATGAGGGATTTTCCTAACAAATGAGGACATGTTTCATATTATATTGGATTATATTATATTATATATTATATTATATTATATTATTACATATAGTGCAGAGTTTTTTTCGGCAAATTATCCAGATACAGTTCCAGTTCCAGTGTTTTTCACATTTTTTCACTTTTGAAGTCATGGTCCTTCTTGCACTGCTCCAGTTGTGATTCGTAGCCAAGCTCTCGTAGGCACAAGAGAAACTCACTGTAGTGATCGAGCTCAGCGAAAACGATGATGTCCGGATTGAAACTCTCAATGAGGCAACAAATTTGGAGTTTTCGTGCCTCCCAATCAATAACTGCGTTGGTGTTTTCAGCAGACGCGTTGCAGGTGTACTTCTGTTGGCATTTTTCTAGGGCTTGTGGGTTTCCTTTTGCTTCCATCATCTCTGCAAGAAGCGTGCGAAATTCAACTTGATCGCCAGCAGCAGTTGGAACGCATTTCTCCGGCACAGGCCAGTTCGCTAGCACTGGCCGCACCAGAAAACCGTCATCGGACATTGCATCTGCAAGTATGTTGTACTGCATGACCCTGAGGGACGGTGACTCCGCTGGTGAAAAAGAAGCCCAAGCTGAAGCCTCAACATGTTGCTCTGCTACCCGCAAATCTTTCAATCGGGCGCGTCGCAGAGCTTGGTAGCTCGCCATTGCGTTAGTGCACAGCTTTTAGGATGTGAAACGATTCAAACATCAAGTCTCGATATATTTCAATATGCCTCGATATCTCTCAGTCCTTCAGAAGCATGTCTTTCACATCTGCTGCATTCTGCGGGAGAATGTGCGTCAAGCTTTTTTGTGAACTAAGCGGCTTTGCTCTGTGGCAACTTTGCTTTTGACAGTCCACTCTCAGAAAGAGAAAGTGGCCTTGGAAACCCTTTTGCTCTGAACTGCAGCAAGCTGAAAAGAGAATCCTATCCTTCGGCATGTGGAAATTATTGTCTTAAGTGGTCCTGTTTCGTTCCGTGACTCGCGATGATAGCCCGTATTCTACACCTTTAAATAGACTCACCCTTTAGAAGCGACGATCTGTGTGCATTTGTTGGTCAAAGGCTTTTCAAGCGTGTATTTTTCTTCAAAACCATACTCCCACAGGCCACATGGCAAAGACTCGCATGAAAACGATCAAAGCGCTCTCAGTTTGGGAGCACTTGCATACTGAAGTTTGCACAAGGCGTTTGTTTTTACCACTCGGAAATGCAATCCTTCAAGGCCTCTAGTCAGTCTTGCTTGTGTTTGTACTGTCTGCAGAAATTTCTTGAGATAATACACAAAGAGGGAACCACTCTGATCATCTTGTCATTGTGGGGCCGGTAGGTGCAGAAGTTTGGCAGGCCATTTCGAACCTTACAGAACAAACGGCGGAAGACCTACTCTGTTGCAGTGTCCTTAATTCTGGGCATATATTCTCCGCTCATTTCATGGATCGCAAGCAAAAGCCTTCGACTCCTGAAACCAACATCCTGATGCAAAATACTTTGGAAAAGGAGTAGTGCTGCTAATGTGTTTTTGCTGGAAGTCAAACCTAGAGTCTAGAGTGGTCTTTTGACTCCTTTCGCCTGCACTTCCGTGTGAAGTCTCTGGATTCATTGATTCATACCAGTTCGGCAGTCAAAGGAAGCGCCTCTTCCATTGATCTATATGTTCTAGGAATGGCCTTCTTTCCCCAAATATCTTCCATCTTTTTGCACACCACACATGTGTCCACATTTTTGTTGCTGAAATCATGATTCTTGGAGGCGCGTTAGCATGCGGTCGCGTTAGATCGCATTAGCATGTATTGCCTTGCATGGCAAAGATAGTGCCTACCTAAAGTAGTACAGAAATATACAGAAATGATAAAGACATACTAAGACACGCGAGAGCTCTCTTTCCGTGCACCCAACTGCCAAATGAGCCCATTGGAATGGAAAACAATCTGGTCATGTGCCCGTAAATGGTTCTTCTGAGGTGTTTCCTGTTCACGCAGTCTTGTTCTGGTGGTCTTCCATCAATTGGCACACCCGCTTTTTGAATCAATTTGCGACCGTTTTGCAAGCAAACAGCTCATGCCGCGGCCTAAGAGATGTTTGTAATGCGCTCAGTCATTGATTTTCTGAGAAGCAGAAATGCCTCAGGCACGGCACATTGGAAGGTGGACATCAAGCAAAGTGTGAGTGTGGTAACAGAGCACAGTGCACAGTTCTCTCAGTCGAACACTGGCTTAAACAGTGCTTTAAGGCTTAAACTGTTTAAACAAATCCATCAAGGGCATCGTCCCACAGTACACATCAGTGAACTCAGTGAACTCAAGACTCGTCTACTCATCGTCTCAGGATACGGTGAGAGCTGAAAGTCGTGGCTCTTAGCGCAACGCGATTTTCACTCGCCATGTCAGCCTTGCACATCTCAGGGCCACACCTGTCCAATGCCAGACTCTTCAGCTTAATCCGACAAAGTGAGACTTTAGGTCTGACCGGCTTAGTGTTTGCACTGAGACTTTCAACCAGAGTATGTACTGTAATGCACCAATGCGTAATTTGACGGAAGTGAAATAAATACCTTCACCTTTTCAATAACATCTGTGTGTTTGGGAATGGTGCTCACTCAGCCGAAACCAGTTGGAAGCCCCATTGCTTTCAGCATTTTGGTCTCTTCATCTTCATCTCCATCGCCAGCATCCTTCTCCACATCATCCTCTTGATCTTCTCCCTCACGCTCTTCACGCTCTTCACGTTCTTCGTCTTCAAGTCCTGCAGCGCCTCGTTTTCTTTTCTTTTTCTCTTTTTTTCTTTTCTTCTTCTCCTCCTCTTGCTCCTCCAGTGCCTGGATCTTGGCAGCGATATCCTCCACCTCAACCTCTTCTGTTTCCTTTTTCAAGGATTTGAGTTTGTCCTTGATGCGATCTACACCAATCTTCTCAACTTTCATGTTCATGCCCAGGTTCCGATTGTGTCTGCGCCCATTCACATGCTCCAGGTATGATGCTGAATCTTTGATCAAGCACTCACAAACACTACACCAATAGCCACCCTGCAGCGGTTTGATGGTATGAGCTGTGACTGTTCGCATTTGGCCCAAGTTCTTGTCAAGCTCTAATTCTGCAGTGCGCCGCTTCAGGAACGTACGCTGAGAGGAAGGAAGCGGAATCACTGGATCCTTTCTGCGACCGATGCGTTCTGGTCCAAACATGATGTTTTGTTTGGCTTTTTCCAAGTACACATCTTTGTCCCAGATCTTTCGGCCCATTGCATCGGTGGCACCTTCATCACCTTCATCTCCTGGATCTGACGCCATCTCTTATATCACTTGGATTCAAAGGTTTACCATGGGGCTTTGAGCTGAAATCTCCTGCTACATCTCTCAGCGCTTGTCTCATGTCAAATCCAATTCTGGTATATACGTACCACAAAACGATAGGTTCAAGTGGATTCAAAAGGTTCAAGTGTGCAGCCATGCTCAAGTAGACCATTGGCACAGCATGCTTGGACTGTCAACAGAACATAACCTTTTGAGAACTGAGGCAGTAGCTCACCAATGTCCAACGCTTTCCTGCAACTCGCTGTTGTGGGGTGTGCTGACGGCAGCAAGGACAAAAATACGTATCTGTTCTATCTATTTCCGTCTTGCTGTATTTTGGTGCAAGGCAAAACTCGTTTACAAATGGATTATGCCACAGTTGCAGGTTACTAGAAACATCTAGAAACTTACTAGCTGGATCTAGCTGGGATGCACATTGAAGCAGCTCCTATTTCAAAGCTGATCCGGTCCATGGGGCAAATCCCACAATGAAGCCGTGGCGTCCAGTCAGGACTCCAAAATTTGGTTGTCACCAAGTGTGAAAAAAAAACGGTTGGGGTCTCCCAGTTTTGGACAGATCACGTAAATTCACGTAATTATGTCATTAAGAAAGAAAAATAAAAAAAGGCAAACACACTCCCCTCCCCCGAGTCGTTGAATCAAGTCCTCGTGTTGTGCAGCAATTTATAAACTGCAAGATGATTGTCCTTAGACAAAGACAGCAACTTGGTTTTCCAGGTGGGGGAACCTGCTAGCATCTACGAAATATGAAGAAATATCAAGCAAGAGACGGGGAGCATTTCAGATGAAGTTCAGAACCTTGTGTCCTTCCATTTGACTGGCTGTCTAGTAGGGATTCCCAGAATGAATGATGATAATCCCTATCACATATGCCATTCAACCATCTGGGGTTTGAACAGTGCTCAGATGGTGTAGCACAGACCTCAAGACCACAATATCAGTATCTACTCGATGTCTACTGTGGTTGCTTGCATGCTGCAACATTTGTACCAAATACACAAGAAAGCACGTGCAACATAATAAGCAATTGGACCTTTCAGATTGGATAATTCCCAAACCCGACGGCCGCCAAATTGATGGTTTCCCAAATACTAAGTTACTAAGTAACCGGTCAGTGACCATCCTTTTTACATGAAATCCCACGAACTCACCATGAAGCCCGCGTGAATTCCACGAATTGTACTACAAATTGTGACAATTCGTAGACCGTAAAAAAGGATTGCCACTTTGAACTGTCCAAAGATTTTGCCTCCGATGGTAAGCCCAGGATATTTTTGCTGCAGGTTGTTCCGAGCGTTACAAGTTTCACTGAAGATGTGGCAACATCTCCCCATATCTTTGAAACCATCTTTATATAAAACTACCAATCAAATGAACTCCACCGAGTCCACACAAAAATAAAGCAGAAGCAGAGCGGGTAACATTTGTGAGCAATGAACCTATCTGAGTAGTTCCAGCTGTCAAAATCTTCAACAGTTTTCTTTCATTCACTCAGTCTTCTTGTGACCGTCTGGGCACCTCACTCCATTGCCTGGTCAGCGCTGCACTTCCGCTAGAAGCCCTGCCAAGAGCTCGAGCTGGAACCTGACAAACACATGAAACACGTCTGACATGCAGTTCTTCATGTAACACTGCCCTCAAACAATCTCGCAAATCGTGCAATCTCAAACCGATTGAACAACTTCTGACTAGATCTAGCCGCACGCAGTATTTCCAGGAATTTGACGCGCGCTGCTGTTTGAAATTTGAAAAAACAAAAATAGTTGAGAAATTGAGAGTGAAATTGGGATGAAAATTGCGGCCCAGATCAGCAGCCTATCAATCATGACGCATACGCTGATGTCCTTGGTCTCAGTGAACCACCCAATCTCTCAAAAAAACGAAGTTAAGTGAATCAAAATTGAATTAACAGAATTCATTCTAAAAACGAAGAAAATAAGTTTGGCATGCCGATTGGCATGCTTGCAGCACGGCTTTACATCTGTTTACGCGCTCTCTTGTTGTCATCAAAATCATCCTGTCTCTGATTTCAGTCTACTCCAGGCTGGTGACACTTTTGTCAACTCCAAAAGGATTGCAAATCTCCACAGCAACATCCTCCTGAACACACTGACGCGCACTGCAGCACAAACTCTCTAGAAACAGGCTTCGTGTAGGTCATGCGTCAAACGTACAGGACCGAGACAGAGAAAGTGGATACCGTGAACACGTGAGAACCCCCGTCCAGCTTGTACACTACGTAGCCGATGGAGCTGCCTTGCAAGGTGTGAAAACAACAAGCATGCTCGCTGAAACGTGAAGCTCCATGTAGTGGACTTGTGACCCCAAACAGTGAAAGTCACAGTGAGGTTGTCAGACTAGGGGGAGGATGTTCTTGAAGACCGTTCTTGTGAGATACTTTGGTGGCACACGTAATTACACACGTCTATGTAGTACAATCTGAGACAATACGAGACACTGTTGTAGGACACCTTCATGAGACACTCTCTTGGAGACCACAGATGGACACCCTCAGGTGGACACTCTTCCAGGACCTTGAAAGGCCCTTGCGAACATGTTTGCAGGATATTGGAAAAGGCTGAAAAGGCTCTCTTTTCAAACACTGCAGTAATTTAAGTTAAAACATGTTCACTCCAACCCTGACGTTGCGCCGCGTCTGACTTCAGGCGACATATTGTTCATAGGGGGTGGCAAATTTTCATCCCTTATGAAGATAAAGTTAATGTTATTACCCCAATCAAAATATTGTTCATAGGGGGTGGCGAATTTTCATCCCTGATTAAGATAAAGTCGATGTTATTACCCCAACCAACATATTGTTCATAGAGGGTGGCAAATTTTAATGTGATGATGGCCATGATGTGATGATGATGATGATGATGATGTGATGATGTTGATGATGATGTGATAATGATGATGATGATCATCATCATCATCATGATCATGATCATGATGTGATGATGATCATGATGATGTGATGATGATCATGATGATCATGATGATCATGATGATCATGATCATGATGATCATGATGATCATGATGATCATGATGATCATGATGATCATCATAATCATGATAATCATGATGATCATGATGATCATGGTGATAATCATGGTGATCATGATGTGATGATGATCATGGTGATCATGATGATCATGATGATCATGATGATCATGAATCATGGTGATCATGATGTGATGATGATCATGGTGATCATGATGATCATGATGATCATGATGATCATGATGATCATGATGATCATGATAATCATGATGATCATGGTGATCATGATGATCACCATAATCATGATAATCATGATAATCATGGTTACCATGATGATCATGATGAACATGATGATCATGATGATCATGATGATCATGATGATCATGATGATCATGATAATCATGATGATCATGGTGATCATGATGATCATCATAATCATGATAATCATGATAATCAGGATGATCAGGATGATCATGAATCATGGTGATCATGGTGTGATGATGACCGTGATGATCATGACGATCATGATGATCATGATGATCATGATGATCATGATAATCATGATGATCATGGTGATCATGATGATCATGATGATCATGATGACCATGATGACCATGATCATGATGATCATGATGACCATGATGATCATGATGATCATGATGATTGTAAGTGTGGAACAACGTCCGGGTTGGGGCGAACATGTTGTAACTATTGTAGGATACTGTACTTTTGCGACTTCTGGTGGGGTTTCGAATCTTCGAGTCGGGCATATTTGCCTAACACTCTTGGGTGACGATTCAGTCAACACTTTTGCAGACACTGTTGTCAAACACTCTTTTGAGAGGGGCACTTTGGTCAGTCAACCAAACACTGCGCCGCCAACGAAAAATAACACTAAAGGTTCACCCAATGCGATAAAATTGACACTGGAGGTGGGCCTGCAACAGCACAACTTAAGACTCGAACACGAAACTATTGCCAAACCGCCTCAAAAAACAAATTGGGGGAACAAAACTAGAGACTCAAAAACAAAACTCTCTGACAACATGTTCTAAGAAAACAGAAGGCCAAGGCTTAAAAGGAACCTCTTGCGTTTTTTCCAAAAATTACATTTCTCACACACTTTGAACATCATGGCCCTCCTGAGATTTATCACTTTGAATGTATGATTTACAAAACGGTGTGAAATAGCTTTAGGATTTTTTGAAATCAGTTTTGGGACTTTTTTTTGGATTTCTTGGCTGGTACCATTTGCCTAGTGTTTGCAACGGTTTGGAACTTGAATTTGTCATTTTGCATGGTATTTGCCGCATTTGGGCATGTTCACCTTCCATTTTGCATGGGATTTCCTACATGTGGGCATGTTCACCTTCCATTTTGTATGGTATTTGCCACATTTTGGCATGTTCACCTTCCATTTTGCACGGGATTTGCTACATGTGGGCGTGTTCACCTTCCATTTTGCATGGGGTTGGCCACATTTTTGCATGTTCACCTTCCATTTTGCATGGGATTTCCTACATGTGGGCGTGTTCACCTTCCATTTTGCATGGGATTGGCCACATTTTGGCATGTTCACCTTCCATTTTGCATGGGATTTGCTGCATGTGGGCGTGTTCACCTTCCATTCGGTATGGGATTTGCTACATGTTGGCATGTTCACCTTCCATTTTGCATGGGATTTTCTACATGTGAGCATGTTCACCACATCATCATGCCAACCCCAAGGGATTTGATACATTTTGGAATGGCCACCTTCACTACATCATCATGTCACCCCCAAGCTTTCAAGAGAAGGTTAGTTCGCAAAAATGCAAGTTGCGGACGATGGTCATGGTTAGCATTCACACCATCATGTTCACCACATCATCATGCCAACCCCAACTAACGTATTTACAAGCTTGGGTTTAAATGTAAAAAAGCGGGAGGGGGGGATTGGGGGGAGGGCTGAAGAGGGGCCCTAGCGTCTATTCAAGATCAGCTAAGGCGTCTTCCCAAGACAGCTCACACGCTTTTTACTCTCGGCGTATTGCCAGTCCGTGCTGTGTCCACAGGGTTACTCTAGATACCTCTTGAGCCTTGAGGGGCGCATATAAATGTGCTCACTACTCATGCATGTACCCGCATAGGTATTAGGTCGAAACAAAAACACAGGCACAAATTCAAAAGCAATGAGTAGAGCACTACGCCTTGTCGTACCCAATTGGTATTAAGAGTATCTTCCTGTTCTCGCTACACAATGGCAAATCGGCAAAAACTGAGCGGAAGTCACGCAGTGGATTGAAGAAAACAAACTTGAAAAGCGACGGAATGTCCTAAGGACATGTCGACATGAAAGCAGCGGATTCGCTAATTATTTTTCTGCAAGACCAATGGTGCACTAGGCACGGTCTCTCCAAGCAAAAGCTCGCTCTACCGGTGAAAAGTTCCTACCCCGCAACGCAAGATTCAGAAATTGAGGTCAGATGGAAAACAGTTGACCGAATCACAAAATAAACGGAAATAGCGGATCTCCAAAGTTGCTTATTCAAGCAAACGATGGACAAAATTCGGAGTTGGTATGTTGGATTCGCTCCATTCGGAGATGTTCTGCTCAGCGGAAAGGTTACTGAGACAATTGTGATAGCATCTCTATATACAAGAGTATCTATCTACATTAAATTGAAATTCAGACACAGTAGTGGCATTGTCTCCATCTAAAAGAGTATATGCCATCTTGTGAAAAATGAACACTTGCCTTGTATTATCTCTGTCTAAAAGAGCATATACTTTGTGAAAAGAAACTGAATGCACAGAAAAACTGCACAAGCCTCTCATGCTGCGTTATGTTCGTCTAAAGAAGTATACAGTATACACTCACTTTGGTCTCCATGCTGTGGACGATGAAGCTGAGGATCCACCATAGCCACTGCTGCGCCAGTCGCTCCATGCTTGATCATCATATCCTTTCCTCTTGTTCTGCCTCTGCTTCTTCTTTCTCGTGTCATGACGTCTCATCTTCATCTGACTTGGAATGTACTGACATTTTTCTGACCGGAGCATATCAGAGGGCTTTAAATGAACAACAGTAGGATTGTGAGGATCACGATCTGTAGGTGCAACCATGAAGATGGCTTGGTCAGTTCAAGCAAGTTTCATTGACCCTGACGGTAAACTCACCAACGTAGTTCATGTGATCTTCATCTTCAAAATTGGCTATGTCCTCATCATACTCCAAATGTGCATGTCCCCACTCAACAATAGACATCATACAACAGTCACCTCGATCTGAAGTCTTGTTCATGAGTTCCTCGGTGTATGTTGCTGTTGCCATGCCATCCAGATGTGTTGCTAGAAAATCAAGATCCCGACAAGTGCAAGAGATGAAATGTTTCACCCGAACAGGTGGGCAAAATCGATCATGGTTCTTGCGTCGAGCTTGTGTTGGAACATTCATCATCTTGTTGATCCAGTATTGCAATAAGCTATGCTGGTATGTGGGAACCTGGTGAAATAGCATGCCTTGTTCCCATCGCCTGCGATCACGTCAACTTGATAACGGGCACACTCGAAAGCCATAATGGCCAAACATTCACCAACGATACCAGGTGTATGGGAAGCATACTTCTGTCCAACATGATAAACACACACGCGTGTCATCTTCATCCTTGCTCTTGTCAAATCTTCAATCTTTTGTGTGTCTCGGTGCTTGGTCTTTCCCCAGAAGACTTCGAAGATTGCCCAAGAGACATACCTGATGCGCGTGTCGTTCTCATTGGTGTTATATCCAGCAATTTGCCTGATATATCCTTCCTTTCCGATACGAGCAGCAACCATCAAATCATGATAATCGTTGAAGCAAGTGGTAATCTTGGCTTCTTCGAGACGAGCTCTGTGAGGATAAAGCGTACCAGCTTCGCAATTCATGAAAAGATGTCCCCCAAAGTTCTCAATGACGTTGATAAAATAGTTGTTGAACTGGGGCTTGTCATCTCCAATAGGATTGTGATCACCATCAAGATTGTAATCAATGTGTGGCGTGAATCGTTGGAGTCTTTCTGGGACAGGACATTTGTCAAAAGACTTTCGACACCAGTTTCCCAGATTCCAAAACATCATTGAGAACTGTGGTGAGGATCTATAAGGATGTTCTTCATCAATGTATGTTGGGTCTAACATGCCGCCACCTATATGAATATCTGGAAGCTAAGCTAAGCATTGTAACACAACAACATAAGGTAGAACACCATGATCTTCCACGTAACATTCAAAG